AGCGAGCACCAGAGGCGGCACTGGGATCCCCGGCTCAGGGGAAGGGGGCACCGGGCCGGGAGGTGGGGAGGGGGCGATGCTGGAAGCCATGGCGGAGCCCAGTCCCGAAGGTGAGCCCTCGACCGGCGCCGAGCGGTGGGGGGCGGGTGAGGAATCAATTGGCAAACTTGGAGGCCGAGCCCCGAAGCCCCGCAGGGATGTGCGGGAGCGGGGGTCTGGGGCCCGGCTCTGGAGGTGGGAGGGCGACGAGTTGAGAGCCCCTGGAGAAAGGGGTGGGAGGTTGGGCAGGGGTAGTTGGAGAGCTGGCCGTGTTTGTTGGGGAGGAGGCCCGGAGTCGGAGCTGGAAGCTCTGAGCGAACGGGGGTCAGGGGCTGAAAGGGCCTCGGACTGTTTGGGGCCCTGGCGTTGGGAGGTCCGAGTTGCTGGGGGCCGGAGAGTTGGGAGGCGGGAGGACGGAGCCGAGGGCTGAGCGAGGGGGCCAGGAGTTGGCCGCGGCGGGGGAGTTTGTGGCGGTGGTGCCGGAGCTCCGGTAGTTGCCGCCAGAGATCGCCTGGTGATTGTTACAGGGTGATCAGGTAGTTGTGGGGAGAAGAGCGGGTCTGGGTATTGTCTGTAGCAGAAAGACCTGTACCGGGGGGGCGGCTGCGGGGCGAAAGAGCTGGGACGGGGCGAGGACGGCGGGGCGGGGTGGGGGTTGAGACCGGCGACTTGCGCGGGGGGAGGGGGTGGGTGGTCGGCGAGGTTGAGAGCCCGGGAGTTGTGGAGGGTGAGGCGGGCAGCGACGGCAGCAGCGGCGGGGCTGCTGTGGAGAGTAGCTGCTTGGGCGGAGGAGACTTGAGTTTAGGGGTTCAGAGCCTAATGACTTGGTGAGTTCGGGGGCGGGGGGGGTGGACGGGGGGGGGGAGGCGGCGGCTGGAGAAGCTCAGGACTGGGCCCGGGGCCCCGGCGGGGAACCCGAAGAGCTCGAGACGGGGAGGGGCCAAAGCCCCGGATGGGGGCGGAGGGAGGGCGAAATTGTGGGGAGCACGATGTGGGGGGGCAGGTGGGGCCGCGTCCGGGAGTGAGCTCGCTGGGTCTGTCCCGGACGCAAAGTAGGGCTGGGTGTGTGTTTTGGGTGGGGGACAGGGGCGCGCCCGGCCTCGTGCTCGAGTGGAAGGGGCCGGAGGGCGGGGAGCGGCTCGGCGTGGTCATCTTGGACCCTGGGGGCCGGCGGGCGGCGTGTGCGGTCTCGGAGGGCCCTGGGTGGCGGAACACGGCCGAGTGCGAACTCAGAGCTCCGAGCGCGTGTGAAGGACGGGGGCGAGTAGGGCCCGAGCCGGGCTCCGGGAGCGGTATGGCGGGGTGGGGCGCCGAGAGAGCCTTGTAGACTGGCGGAGCCGCGAGCGGGGGGCGGGGCGCCGGGCCTCCGGTTGGGTTGGGGGAAGGGGAGCGCTATAGCGAGGCCTTGGAGGGCGCGGCGCCCAGGCTCCGCCTCTCCTGGGGCGGAAGGGAAGCAGGGGGCGTGTCCAGTACAGCTGGGCGCCTATTGCCCTGGCGGGGAACCTAGGAGGGGAGGGGGGGTTCATCTGGGACCTCCTAGGTTTAAAGGCGGGGTTTTTTAGCAGACTTTTCTTAGTGGCTTGACTCAGCTTTTATTGCTTCCACAGATCCACCTCCGACTCTTAAGCCAGAGACTCAGGTAAGAGACCTTCCTTACCTTTGTTGGCTCCTATCATTTGATTGTGCTCCCTCTCCTTTCCTGTATTTCTCTTTTTAGGGGCTGTGTCTGTGGGATTGTCCCCTTAACACTTGTGTTTGGCTTTCATGTGACCTATATTTCCTTCCTTTCAGCCGCCAGAAAAACGTAGGAGAACAATTGAGGATTTCAACAAGTTCTGCAGTTTTGTCTTGGCCTATGCTGGTTACATCCCCCCTAGCAAGGAGGTAGGGACAGAACCACCAACCATTTGAGGGGAACTGTACTACTTCATGGGAGGGGCTTGCCTGAAATGATACACAACACTAAGGAAATTAGAAAAATTTAAGGCTGTGGTCGTGTGGGAGGTATAACAGAGTTGGGCTGGCTTGAGCAGCCCCTGATGAGGAATTTGAAGGTATTGTTAAGATTTTGGAATGCTCTTGGCTTACTGTTAATGGAAGGTATTTCTGGAATAAATTTTAGGGAGACGACAGCAAACCAGACTGCAGAAATAAAAGGAATAGGCCTCTATGAGAAGCAGGTTTGGGCAGAGTAGTGGAGAGATGGCTTAGACTTTGAGCAGAAAGGAAGCGATTAGAAAGAGATGACAACTGGGATGGTGGCTCAGTGGTAGAGCACTTGCCTTGCATACCTGAGGCCCTGGGTTCGATTCCTCAGCACCACATAAGCAAAAAGAAAAAGGCCGGAAGTGGTGCTGTGGCTCAAGTGGTAGAGTGCTAGCCTTGAGCTGAAGAGCTGAGGGACAGCGTCCAGGCCCAGAGTTCAGGCCCCACGACCCCACCCCTTCCCCCCCCCCCCAAAAAAAAAAAAAGATGACAATAAGACAGGACACTGGTAAGTTTTGTGTACTGAGGCAGTTTGGTTGGATGGGTACGATACTTCAGCAAAGTGTAGCCCTTGATATTCTGGCTAGATTTGTGGAGGGGGTGGGATGACATTAGGTTCCTGCTGATCCTGGTCTCTTCCTCCTTTTAAGGAAAGTGACTGGCCAGCCTCAGGCTCTAGCTCTCCCTTGCGAGGTGAGAGTGCAGCTGACAGTGATGGCTGGGACTCAGCCCCCTCAGATCTTCGAACAATCCAGACCTTTGTTAAGAAAGCAAAGTCATCCAAAAGAAGGGCAGCTCAAGCAGCTCCCAATCAGCCAGGACCCCCAAGGTCCACTTTCTCTCGTCTGCAGGCTCCTGACAGTGCCACCCTACTTGAGAAGATGAAGCTCAAGGACTCTCTCTTCGATCTGGATGGGCCCAAAGTGGCATCTCCACTGGCACCCTCATCCCTCACACATACCTCCCGGCCCCCTGCTGCTCTCACCCCAGTGCCCCTTTCCCAGGGGGATCTCTCCCAGCCGCCTCGAAAGAAGGACCGAAAGAACAGAAAATTGGGGCCAGGAGGTGGGTCTGGCTTTGGGGTGCTTCGGAGGCCTCGGCCAGCTCCTGGGGATGGGGAAAAGAGGTCTCGAATCAAGAAGAGCAAGAAACGGAAGTTGAAAAAGGGAGAGCGAGGGGATAGACTCCCACCTCCTGGTCCTCCCCGAGCACCCCCAAGTGATACAGACTCTGAAGAGGAGGAGGAGGAGGAAGAGGAGGATGAGGAGGAGGATGAAGAAATGGCAGCAGTGGTAGGGGGTGAAGCCCCAGCCCCTGTGCTCCCAACACCCCCTGAAGCCCCTAGGCCCCCTGCCACTGTGCACCCTGAAGGAGCTCCCCCCACTGACAGTGAAGGCAAGGAGGTAGGCAGCACTGAAACAAGCCAAGATGGTGATGCCAGCTCCAGTGAAGGCGAGATGCGGGTCATGGATGAAGACATCATGGTAGAATCAGGTGAGAAGCTTGGGGTTGCCTAGGGGACAGCTGCCCAAGGATAGTGGATTGGGGGTGGGGGTGGGGGTTGTAGATCCAAGAGCTCAGGCAAAACTCCAACCAAACTTTGTTTTTACCAGGTGATGACTCATGGGATCTGATCACGTGTTACTGCCGAAAGCCCTTTGCAGGAAGGCCCATGATTGAATGCAGCCTTTGTGGCACTTGGATCCACCTCTCCTGTGCTAAGATTAAGAAAACCAATGTCCCTGACTTCTTTTATTGCCAGAAATGCAAGGAACTCCGGCCAGAGGCCCGGCGGTTAGGAGGGCTCCCCAAATCTGGAGAGCCCTGACATGACCATCTTGGGCTGGAACTCTGAATGACAACATGACTTGGGAACTGAGCCTCGGGGTCCTCAGCCTATTCCCTGGAGCTTGGATATTGTGACTTCAAGGCAGGAATTTCCAAAGGAGACTTGTTTGGAATTGTCTTCATTCCTACCCTAGCCTTCCTGCTCCATGGGCTTGAAATTGGACTCTGTCGGAGTCAGCTGGGGGGGGTAGGAGGGGCCTGTCTGGATCTGTGGACACAATCTGTCCCGTAGACCTGTTATCCCTCACTTTCTGGGCCAGGGTTCTAATTGGAGTGGAACAATTGTCTACAAAACTAGTGTAAATATAGCACTCCCCTCCCTCATCTTCTATTTCACTTTCCAGTTATTTTCTTCTACACCGGTTGTATTTTTGATTTTGGACTTCCCCTTTTGAGCATGGCAGCTCAAAGGTGAAGTACCAGAGCCATGCCGAGTGAGGAAGGAAAGCAGAAAGGTGATGATTATCACTCACCTCTTGTTTTTAATAATATTGGCCAGCTGTTTGTACAGCCTACATGTTGTAAATAAAGCAGAGTGGGCTCTTTTGTGTTCATAGCCCTCACTGATTGTCCTGCTTGGGAGGGAGGCTTTGGAAAAGCTGGCTGAAGACCCAGCTGAAATCCATCTTTCAAAGACCTGGGTTTGTAACTTACACATCCCAGAATTACTTTGGAGTAGCCAAACCCTAGGTCCCCAATTGGCTTTGCTCTTCCCACTCCCAGTCCTGCTCCCATCCCAGTAGTTGCCTTTCTCCCAGTGCACACATTCTGGTTGGTTCGTCGTGCCGGCCCAGCCTAGGAAGAGTCAAGCGGGGCGGGGAGGAGGGCGGGGCCTGGCCCACCGGGTGGCCCTTCGGGTGGGTGGGGGTGTCGGGGGGCGGGGTCCTTTAGGGCCGGGAGACCGTTGCGCCGGGCAGCGGTCACGTGGTCGGGGTGCTCTGGAGGATCCCGGGGGTCACGTGATCGGAAAGAGCCACGTGATGGGGCGGGCCCTGTCGCGCGCCGTGGGCAGGATCACGTGGCATGGGGAGAGGTGGGCGGGGACTGGGGGGAGTGCTCACGTCGGCGGCGGCAGCGTTTGCTCCCCCACATACACACCCGCCCTCCGGCCCCCCCCCCCCCCCCATCCCCATCGGTTCCCTCACTCCGCTCCGACGGTCCCACGCCTTACCCTTCTGCCCGTCTTCCACACAGGCCGGGTCCTGTCGGCGTTCGCACATCTGTTTTCGGTTGTGCGCAGGCGCCGCGGGGGTTCTTTGCTGCGTTGGGTGGGCGGCGAAGCCCGGGAGTGCGCGGGCGAGACCATGGCGGGCAGCAGCACGGGGGGCGGTGGGGTCGGGGAAACGAAGGTGATTTACCACCTGGATGAGGAAGAGACACCGTACCTGGTGAAGATCCCCGTTCCCGCCGAGCGCATCACCCTCGGCGATTTCAAGAGCGTTCTGCAGCGGCCCGCAGGCGCTAAGTACTTTTTCAAGTCTATGGATCAGGATTTCGGGTGAGCATAAGGCCTAGACTGGGAAGGATGGGGGCCGAACTAGAGCGGATTGGGCCATATGGAGGGGCACCGAGCTACACTCGAATTTTCTGCCTATAGTGGAGCAGATTGTACTATGCTGAGGACGATTGCCTATCCCAGGAGGGTAAGGTTATCCTTGGACCCTGGTACTCGAATCTACAGAAAGCCAAGACTGGGCTTTAGTAAACCAGAATAGAGGTTAAGTTTTACTGGAATAGATGGAGGCACATTGGTTGGTTTGGAGGATATTCTGGACCTTACTAAGACAGATTGATCAATCCGGTAGTTTGGTATATGCTTAGCAGTTCTGAAGGATAGACTGTGTAGGAATATTCTGTAATCTGATGTAGATTGTATGGTACTGGGGCAATTTGAGATGTTTTGGCCTATAATCGGTAAGGATTATTTTGGGGACATCCTAGTTTATACTAATGCAAAAAGGCCTATATTGAGATGTCCAGGGTAGATTTTCTTAGAAAAACTCGAGTCATTCTTGACTAAACTGGGTTGGTCTTTAAGTTTCCCTTAGGGACAGGCCTTTTATTGGGGTCAGTTAATACAGGGTAAAATAAGGCCATTGAGGCCTGTATTAGCCAGTACAGATAATGCTACTGGAATATTGTCTATATTGGTGCAGACAACTGCTTGTTGAGACGTTGTAGGCTATACTAGAATAGATTGGCCAATCCTGGATTAATTTGGAATCTTTTTGGTGACCCTCAGCTAGACTGTGGGAATGTAAATAGTGCAGAATAAACCCTCTTGTATTTGCATCCTTTGAAACTGAGCCCTCTGGGTCCTCAACCTTTTTGAAGGTGGGTTGGATTAGGTTGGGACAATCTGGGTTGACTGTAACAGGTGTAGGTGTGTGCTAGGGACAAAAAATGAGGAAGAGACTTCCCTACCTGGTAAGATCCCTGGAGTCCAGTGGAGAATATAACCTTGGCTAAGAGAACTTAATGAACTGGACTCTACTTAGATTGTTCAACATGGGAGTTCTGTTGGATTTAAATTAAGATTCTGTTTGTCAGCTTTGTGATTTTGAGCAGTTTAACTTTTGTGCCTTGATTTCCTCATCTGTGACATGGAGATGATCGTAGTGTGAAATGCTCAATTCAGGTGCATGGGACATTATTAATTCTTGGCAAGTGGCCATTTTTATTAGAATTGAGACTAGCACCATAGATTAGATTCTAGCGATACAGGATGGCTGAGCTATGCTCAGGTTGGGATACAGTGACAAAAAACTGCAATATATTGAGCAGATTGGTACAGACTGGCCCGTGTTGTTACCTTGATAGCAAATAGATTAAGATGGCATGTATCCAACTCTCTCAAACCATATTGTTAAAGAGTTATCAGACAGATATCCCCATATGAGGGTGAGGGTTTGTGTATGAAAGCCTCATAACTCGTATGGATTTTCTTTTTTTTTTCATTTAGTCAACAGGTATTTGTTAATGCCTACTAAGTGTAAGAGATGGTGCTGGGTGCTCAGGACAGTGCTGAACAGAATTTGTGTTAATGATTGGATGGATGGGGGAGTGGTAAGAAGAAGGGACAAATCCAGTCCACTTCAAGAAACTGTTCAAGATACTGATCCTTTGTGGTTGGGCTTTGGGATTTATTAGACTGAGGAGCTTGCTTAGGGCTGTTTTGTGCCAAGTGAAGCACAGGGGAATGGGAAGCCTGGCTTTCTCTCTTCTTAGGAGCTTTCCTCCCAAGAAGAGGTGATTTGGAGATGATTTGGAGATACTGTTGCTTCATCTTAATGGATATTTTTGTTGGTGGTGTTGTTTTGGTTTGTATTGGTTCTGGGGCTTGAACTCAGGGCCTGGATGCTATCCCTGAGCTTTTTTACTCAAGGCTAGCACTCTACTACTTGATCCACAGCTCTACTTGTGGCGTTTTTTTTTTTGGTGGTTAATTGGAGATTAGTCTCAAGGACTTACCTGCCCAGACTGGCTTAGAACTGCAATTCTTAGATCTCAGACTCCTGAATAACTAGGATTACAGGCACGAGTGAGCCACCAGTGCTTGGCTTTGTTGTTCCATCTTAATGAGTGGTTTTTTTTGTTTGTTTTTGTTTTTTTGTCGGTCGTGGGGCTTGAGCTCTAGGTTTGGGCACTGTCCCCGTGCTCTTCAGCTCAAGGCAAGCATTCTACCACTTGAGCCACAGCGCCACTTCCAGTTTTCTAGTGACTTATTGGAGATAAGAGTCTCATGGAGGGGCTGGGAAGGTGGCTCAGTGGTAGAGTGCTTGCCTTGCATGCATGAGGCCCTGGGTTCGATTCCTCAGCACCACATACACAGAAAAAGCTGGAAGTGGGTGCTATGGCTCAAGTGGTAGAGTGCTAGCCTTGAGCTGAAGAGCTCAGAACAGTGCCCAGGCCCAGAGTTCAAGCTCCACAACCAGCAAAAAAAAAAAGAGTCTCATGGATTTTCCTGCCCGGGCTGGCTTTGAACTGCGATCCTCAGATCTCAGCCTCCTGAGTAGCTAGGATTACAGGCGTGAGCCACCTGCACCCAGCCTTAATAAGTGTTTTTACCCAGGCAAAGACCACATATTTGGACTGCTGTCTGGTGTGAGTTAAAGAAAACAGAAGGGAAGTGGAACACTAGGGGCTTCTATGAGGACCAAAGCTCTTTGAGGCAGATAGTGTGAAGTATGGGGATCGGATTGGAGGGAGACTGCCAGCCAGACTCCTAAGTCAGACAGGTATATTAGACATCTGGGTAACCATGGGAGGTGGCCTTTGAACTTGTCCTGGAAGAATTGATCAGTCTGAAGGAAATCTTTTGAACAGTTTTGTGCTCTTAAGGATATGTTGGGAAGAGAAAATGAGTGTGAGTGAATAGTTTTAGTAAGGAAAGAGGACTTAGGTCAGGAGAGACTTAACATCCTTGTACTGGATGGAGATTGGGAGAAATGTTGACTAGGATCGAGGGTGGGGATGGCTAGCTTAGCCTTGCTGACCTCTCGTGTGTCTGTCTGTAGGGTGGTGAAGGAAGAAATTTCAGATGACAGTGCTCGCTTGCCTTGCTTCAATGGAAGGGTGGTATCCTGGGTAAGTGGCCCTGACTCATTGCCAAGCTGCTCTGAGCTTTAGTCTGTTTTGATAGCCTTGTCTTTCCAGTAGTTGGTATCCTTCATTGTCTGCCCCTTTACCTACTTGAAGAGCCAGTGTGAGTCCCTTAGCCTTCTATTTCTGGAGCTACTCTTTTTCTAGGCTCTTTCCCCAGGATCTCTGAGACTCTGTCCCCTTGCTAATTGTTTCTTTGCGCCTCTTCTTTTATGCTCCCCATCTCAATGGAGCTACGTTTTCTCATTTGCCCTCTTCTAGCTAGTGTCATCAGATAATCCCCAACCCGAAATGGCTCCCCCAACCCATGAATCTCGGACAGAGCTGGTGCCTCCACCCCCACCATTACCTCCTTTGCCACCTGAGAGGACCAGTGGCATTGGGGACTCAAGGCCTCCATCCTTCCAGTGAGTCCTCTGTATTCCTGACTCCAGGGGAGGGAGATGAGGAGGGAATCCAGGCCTTTGGGAGGAGAGACTGACAGTTTGGAGCGCTGTCGTTACTGACCTGGATTGGAAACTATCTCTCTGCCTGTCTAGCCCTAATGTGTCCAGCAGCCATGAAAATCTGGAACCTGAGACAGAAACGGAGTCAGTAGTGTCACTGAGGCGGGAACGACCTCGAAGGAGAGACAGCAGTGAGCATGGCGGTGAGGGGGACTAGGCCCCGGAATGGCTGGTTAGATTGGGAGCCGGGAAGGGGGCCAGACCTCAGCCTCAATGAGGACATGAAGGACAGGAGTCCTGTTTGCTAATTGTCTTGTTCATGTGTAGCTGGGGGTCACAGGCCCAGCGGTCCCTCAAGGCTTGAGCGCCACCTGGCTGGGTATGAGAGCTCCTCTACCCTTATGACCAGTGAGCTGGAGAGTACCAGCCTGGGCGATTCAGATGAGGACGATACCATGAGTAGGTATGGTTCTACCCGTCTCCTAGGATTTTTTTCCCCTCCATTCCCCTATTCTGTTTTATTTTCCTTCCTTGCAAACAGTTCTCTCATTATTTCTCATGGCCCCTTGAGAACCATCTGAGCCTCCAAATGGTTCCTTTCCCAACTGCTGTCAGGTTTAGCAGCTCCACGGAACAGAGCAGTGCCTCCCGCCTTCTGAAGCGCCACCGACGGCGGAGGAAGCAGCGGCCACCTCGCATGGAGAGGGTGAGGGGGCTCTCATGGGACAAGTGGGGCTTCGTTTAAGGGGATCCCTAGGACACAGAAGCCTCAGGCTTATTTCTAGGTTATTGAAGGGCAGTCCAGCTCCTTTCCTTCTTCCACCCCAGACCTCATCCTTCAGCAGTGTCACAGATTCCACAATGTCTCTCAACATCATCACAGTCACGCTCAACATGGGTATGGAGGAGCCTGGCCGGGGAAAGGGGCAGCATGGGTCTCCAGGGGCTCCCCCTTCTCCTTCTTACATGGGTTACCTCCACAGAGAAGTACAACTTCCTGGGCATTTCCATTGTGGGCCAAAGCAATGAGCGGGGTGATGGAGGCATCTACATCGGTTCCATCATGAAGGGGGGAGCTGTAGCAGCCGATGGGCGCATCGAACCTGGGGACATGCTTTTGCAGGTGTGCTGGGTGGGCTGCTCTCCTCACTTGGTCAGGGACAGTGCCTTTCCATCCTGCCTTTGACTCATTTCCCCTACTTCCAGGTGAATGACATGAACTTTGAAAACATGAGCAATGATGATGCCGTGCGGGTACTGAGAGACATTGTGCACAAGCCGGGGTGAGCCTCTGAGCTGGTCTCAGGTCCTTAGGTCTATTGACTCTTTCACCTTTTGTTTCTTTTTTTTTTTGGGGGGGGGGTCCTGGTCGTGGGGCCTGAACTCGGCCTGGGCACTGTCCCTCAGCTCTTCAGCTCAAGGCTAGCGCTCTACCACTTGAGCCACAGCGCCACTTCTGGCTTTTTCTGCTTATGTGGTGCTGAGGAATCAAACCCAGGGCCTCATACATGCAAGGCAAGCACTCTACCACTGAGCCACCTTCCCAGCCCCTCACCTTTTGTTTTGAAATAACAAACAAACAAGATAAGCCTCATTATGCATAGGAATGTAGAATGAAACAGTGCTAGCGTGATTACACATATCAGTACCACCTAGATCATGAAACAGGAACGTGCTGATACTTCAGAAGATCCACTGCTCAACTTTCCTCTTTCACTTCCAACCTCCTCCCCCCAGAGAGTAATCATCCTCTTGGCTTCTTCTTTTTTTTTTGGTCAGTCATGGGACCTGAACTCTGGGCCTGGGCGCTGTCCCTCAGCATTTCAGCTCCAAGCTAGCACTCTACCACTTGAGCAACAGCACCACTTCTGGCTTTTTGATGCTTATGTGGTGCTTAGGAATTTAACCCAGGGCCTCATGCATGTTAGGCAAGCACTCTACCACTGAGCCAACTTCCTAGCTCCCTCTTGACTTCTTTGGTCAAGAACATCTTTGCTTCATTTGATGGTTTTTCTACTATGCATGAATCCTGAAACAGCATGGTTCAGTGTAATCAGGCTGATATTTGCTGTAAATAAAATTGTACAGCATGTATGCACTCCCTCCTCTTCTCCTGGAGTATGTGTTTTGTTTTGTTTTTGTTGATTGTAGGCTTGAACTCTGGGCCTGGGTGCTGTCCTTGAGCTCTTTTTGCTCAAGGCTAACACTTTACCACTTTGAGCCACAGACCCACTACCAGTTTTTTGGTTGTTAGTTGGAAATAAGAGTCTCATGGACTTTCCTGCCTGGGCTGGCTTTGAACCATAATCCTCAGATCTCAGCCTCTTGAATAGCTAGGATTACAGGCATGAGCCACCGGCACCCAGCTAGCAGTATTTTTAAAAATTATCTGAGTTGATGTACTCATTACCTTATTTATGTAACGGTAACCCCTCTGTATATCACCCTTACAATAAAATAATATTTTAAAAAGTTAAAAAAAATAATCTGAGTTGGTGAGTTGTCCACATTATAGACGACGACCCCCCTTCCCCTTTCTGTGGCCCAGCCATGTGTGTACTTTTCCTTCTCTGTCTCTCAGTCCATTCTAATGCCAAGCCTTGGCCCTCTTTCTTTTTTTGTTTGGTCGGTTGTGGGGCCTTACCTCTGGACCTGGGCGCTGTCCTTCAGATCTTCAGCTTAAAGCTAGAACTCTACCACTTGAGCCACAGAGCCACTTCTGGCTTTTTTTTTTTTCTGCTTATGTTGTACTGAGGAATTGAACTCAGGGCCTCATGCATGCGAGGCAAGCACTCTACCACTGAGCCACCTTCCCAGCCCCAAGTCTTGGGCCTCTTGAGGCCTCTTCTTTGTCTTGATTGGCCTTCTCTTCCCCACAGCCCCATTGTGTTGACTGTTGCCAAGTGTTGGGATCCCTCTCCTCAGGCCTACTTCACCCTCCCTCGAAGTAAGTGATAATCAGGAGTCTGAAGTCAGGAGATTGGGGAGCGGAGAGGCCAGAAGTAGGTCTGGATCTCATACTGTAGGAAATGGGTTGGCGGGGGTCTCAAGGAAGAGGTAGAACAGGAGGCTTGAGTTCTGGAGTGACAGAGCTGGTTTCCTGAAATTGAGAAGTGATTAACTTGGTATCTTTGTCTCAGATGAGCCTATCCAGCCGATTGACCCTGCTGCCTGGGTGTCACACTCTGCTGCTCTGACTGGCACCTTCCCAGCCTATCCAGGCTCATCATCCATGAGCACTATTACATCTGGATCCTCTCTTCCTGATGGTGAACCCCCAGCCCAACTTTCTGGTAGACTGGCCAAGTGTGATCTTCCCTGTTAACCCTGTGCTAGTGGACCCTTTCTCTCATTCCCTATTGTCTCCTCTGTCAGGCTGTGAGGGCCGGGGTCTCTCCATCCATATGGACATGGCATCTGTGACCAAAGCAATGGCAGCTCCAGAATCTGGGCTGGAAGTTCGGGACCGCATGTGGCTCAAGATCACCATCCCCAATGCCTTTCTGGGTACTGCTGGGCCCTGTGTAATGTGGCATGGGAAGGAGAGGAAGCGACCCCTGGTGCACCCCTGGTGCAGGCAGGGGTAAAGGTGGATATTGGGAGGAGAATCTGAGGCCTTTGGTGGGTGGGAATGTGGCTTAGTGGTGGTAGAGTACTTGCCTAGTTTGCATGAAGCCCTGGGTTCCATTCCTCAGTACCACATAAACAGCAGAAAAAGCCAGAAGTGACACTGTAGTGCAAGTGGTAGAGAGCTACTAGCATTGAGGCACAGAAAGGCTCAAAGACAGTGTCCAGGCCCTGAGTTCAAGTCCCAGGACTGTCAAAAAATAAGTAAATGGAATCTGAGGCCTTTTTCCACTGTGGGTGATTTCAGGCTCAGATGTGGTCGACTGGCTCTATCATCATGTGGAGGGCTTTCCTGAGCGTCGAGAAGCCCGCAAGTACGCTAGTGGGCTGCTGAAGGCGGGTCTCATCCGACACACTGTGAACAAGATCACCTTCTCTGAGCAATGCTATTACGTCTTCGGGGACCTCAGTGGTGGCTGTGAGAGTTGTAAGTCCCCAGCCCTGGCCCTAGGAGAGCAAATCGGTCTACCTTGTCCTGCTTCTATAACAACTGGACTTACAGCCAGGGCTGTCATTGATGATCATGGTAGTGTGTCCTGTACTGGCCAAGGATGAGACCAGGGTGGCTGATAGACAACCAAATTCTGCTGAATAAGCCATATACTGGCTGCAGAACTGTGTCCCCTGGGGTAGGGCAAAAAGGGCACCTCTTGCTGAGTCCCACAAAAGCATATTGGGTTAGTGGTGGCCCTAACCTATAAGCAGGTTCATGTCAAAGCCCTTGTAACCTCTTTGACCCCTGTCATAGTGGCTCTGGGGAAATGGTCTCTATTTTTCTCTCTATTGTTGGGAGACTTGGCTTCTGAAAGCCAAGACTTGTTACTCTTAATCTTTATGTTTTCCAGACCTTGTCAACCTGTCTCTGAACGACAATGATGGCTCCAGTGGGGCTTCAGACCAAGACACCCTGGCTCCGCTGCCTGGGGCCACTCCTTGGCCCCTGTTGCCCACTTTCTCCTACCAATATCCAGCTCCTCATCCCTACAGTCCCCAGCCTCCACCCTACCATGAGCTTTCATCTTACACCTATGGGGGCGGCAGTGCCAGCAGTCAGCACAGTGAGGGTAAGTCATCCCGATACCAGTGCAGCCAGAGACTCAGGGCACAGTGGAGGGGAGCTAGGGAGGACAGGCTAGATGGAACAGGGGCTGCCAAAGCCAGAGGACTGGGTTGATGTTCACTTGTTCTATCCCATCTCCCCTCACAGGGAGCCGGAGCAGTGGGTCAACACGAAGCGATGGGGGGGCCGGACGGACAGGGAGGCCTGAGGAGCGGGCTCCTGAGTCCAAGTCTGGCAGCGGCAGTGAGTCTGAGCCCTCCAGCCGGGGGTGCAGCCTTCGGCGGAGTGGGGAAGCTGGTGGGACTGGGAGTGGGGGCCCTCCTCCATCCAGGGGTTCAGCGGGTGGTGCTCCTAATCTCCGAGCCCATCCAGGGCTTCATCCCTATGGCCCTCCCCCTGGCATGGCTCTCCCCTATAATCCCATGATGGTGGTCATGATGCCACCACCTCCACCCCCTGTCCCTGCAGCAGTGCAGCCCCCAGGGGCCCCTCCAGTCCGAGACCTGGGTTCTGTGCCCCCAGAACTGACAGCTAGCCGCCAGAGCTTCCACATGGCCATGGGCAACCCCAGTGAGTTCTTTGTAGATGTGATGTAGAGCCCACTATGGGGCCGTGTTGGGTCTGTACCATAGGCCTGACCACTCTTGGTTTGGTGCTTCTGTTCTGTCAATCATATCTTCATTGTTCCTTACAGTGCCTAGAGGCTGCTGCCTGCCATAATGTTGTTATTGCCACTGTGACTCTCACCAGCAGTGCCTGGTCCTTCCCCTTCCTTCAAGGGCAGGCAAGGAGGGAGGGCCCTTTGGGGTTTTTTAGCTTTATTTTTTATAAGCCTTTTTGGGGGTGAAAATAGACTTTTCTTATATTTTGGGGACTATTTTTTAAATAGGCATTTCCTCTTTTATATGAAGAATCCCTGTCTCCTAAGTCCCTTCTTACTCCACAATGGGATCTCCTCCAGGCACCCAGGCAGTGCTGTCCTGTGCAGGGTGAGGGAAGGGGGTCAGTGGTACTCCAGGAGGAAGAAGGGTGTTAGGTAACCTAGATCGTAGTCCAAGGAAGCTGGGGTATTTGGTATTTGGGGGGCATGTAGTTGCCTTTGTTCTATTTATTTTAGTTACTTGTATAAAACACTAAATAAAGCAATAGAGGCAAACTCCCCAAGCCTCTGGCTCCTTTCTTTGGGAGGGAAGTAGACAGTAGAGGGAAAGAACTGAGAACCAGAAGCAAAGCTTGCCTTGTTAAAAACTGTATTGTGAGGCACCAAGTATTCCTATGAACAGGCACAATCCTGGGAACACAGGCCCCCTCCAAGGGTAAGCAAGGGTACCCAGGATTGGGGGGGTGGGGTGGGTGGGAAGCTATATGGTCAGGCCCTGGTTGGGAGAATTCAGAAGCCCAGGGGGTTGCTGGTGACCACACCACCTCGCTCCACCATTGCCTGGGAGATGGTTTTGAAGTTACGGAAGAGTTCCTGCTGCCGTGGGTCGGACTTCAGAGCAGCCATGTTTTCCCGGATCCGAGCTGAAGCCTGGGAAGAGGGAAAAAGTGATCAGGCCTGTGCCTTCAGCCCCCACCTACCTTGGGTAGTCTCAAGGCTCACCTCAATACACCAGCTGTTACAGAGCATTTTTTCATGCTGGGCTGTAGGGTGGCCCTTATTCAGAGATCTTGAGGCCCTGGCAGGGAAGTAGAAGATAGCCCTGAGGTGTGCCCCTAGCCCAGCACCCTGTGGCTCAGGCCTTCCATCCTGCCTTCTTACCTGGAGAGAACCACCACCATGGCATAAAGGTCAATGGCCCCGTCGGCTAGGCGCTGTAGCAGAAACTGCTCATCTGTCAGGTAAATAGGGAGGATGGGGCCATAGCTGAGGGAGGGGACATAGGTGTGTGTGTGTGGCCGGGGAGGGGGTAGGGGTTGTAGGAGGCAGAGCACACTCACTGACAATCCCTTTCTTATGTTTTATCAGCTTGGCCTCCACCACAGTGGCAAACTGCTCCAAAGCCTGCACTGCCTGAAGAGATGGGGCGGGTACGTAGCTCAGGAGCCATCCATGGCAGCCCTTACTGCAGGCTCTGCCCCACCCCTGACTACTCACCAACTCACCACTCTGACTTAACTCTGGGTGGATAACTCCACTGAGACTCAGGCCGCTGCCCAGCCCTGCCCGCCTGGGAAGAAGAGGGAAGAAAAGGTTGCTACACGCTACCATCCTGCCCTCCCCTGGCCTGTCCCCTGAACTTACCGCCTCAGCTGTTTCCCTGCCTCTCCTAGGAGGAGGCCAGCATTCCCAAAAGGATTCTTTAGGGCATTGCCAAGCCCAGAGAGTTCCTTGCCTTTGTCCTGTGGGGCAGGAGGGTCGAACAATCAGGAATCCCTGTGATCCCCGTCTGTTTACCGTAATCCCATCTGTTCTCCCCGTTTCCCCTCCTTACCATACAGCCCTGAAGAGCCACAAACAGCCGAAGAATGTCATTTGTTCCCTCGAAAATCCGGAAGATGCGAGTATCTCGGAGCACGCGCTCTACCCCTGGCTCCTAGCACAGGGGAAGACACATCGTGAGCCTCTGCTGAGATGAGCACGTCTGCTCCACCCAGCTGCCCCTGCCAAAGACCCGCCTGCACCTTCATGAAGCCCATGCCACCCATGATTTGGATGCACTCGTCTGTCACTTTCCAGGCAGCTTCCTAGGGACAAAATGCCAGATGAAATTGGTTTGGGGGCTGAGCTGTCAAACCGGACTCTCCCTCCTATCATGTCAGAGTCCTTACCGAGCTAAAGATTTTGCTGATGGCAGCTTCTATCTGGAAATCTGTGGATCCTTGGTCCATGTTGGCACTCAGCATGTAAGCCATGGACTGAGGTGGTATGGTTGGGACATGGGAAAGGAAATTGTAAAGGGCTGTGTCAGACACCCAAATCTCCAAGACCAGGTCTGATCTCATCCCCCAGGGCCCATTGCATTCACCTTCTAACTCTATGGTTAAGTACATCTAAATATGTGGTCCTCTGACATGGTACACCAGGGGCTTCTGAACATTGGACTTCTTAAAAAGGGGAGGAGATGAGTGAGGATGGAGTAGATGAACTTTCAGTATCTTTGGGAAGCACCTCAGTGGAACAGCATTACTTCCTTTACAGAAGCTGGACTGACTATGCCTCCCCGCATCCCCTAGGGCATTGGTGTAAAGCTGGAGACCCACTGCCCCAGGTGCTGCTGGGAGTTGTAGTCTGACCCGACCCTGAAGAAAGCCCCACATGGCTCTAAAGAGAGGCATTGGCTTCCCCTCACCTCAGTCACATACTGCAGCATAGCCATCCGGGCCAGCTTTTCCTGGATCAGCCCAAAGTTGTGAATTTTGTCCCCAAACTGGGTACGATTAGCAGCATGGTCTACCTGGAAGAGAGCATACAAATCCATCCTACTATGGGTCTGTAGTCTTGTCTAGGTGGGGGCTGGGATTAGACTGGAGGAATGGGCTTTGGCAACAACTAAGAGTTAAGTCCACACCTGCTGGAGACCTAAGCTAGCAGGTCTGGAGCTGCCAGCAGGGGAGGGGTCTCTAAAGTAGAGTGTGCCTGCAAGGGAACAGGGACACATGGAAAGGGGGACAACATGATTTGCTTAGGCCAGCTCTGGACTCAGGTCTGAATATACTCAGGATACGCACCGCCTTGGCAATGATGGCTTTCATGGTGCCAGCCAGTGTTGCAGCCATCCCAAACCTTCCATTGTTGAGGATGTACATGGCGACCTTGAAGCCACCCCCAACCTCACCCAGTACATTCTCTGATGGCACCCGAACTCCATCAAAGTACACCTCTGTAGTGTTTGAGGCCTTGATGCCCATCTTCTTTTCTGGAGGTCCACTGTGATAGGGCAGGAAAGTCAAGGTGAAAACATAATTGCCATGTTTCCTTCTTTCTTTTCTTCCTTTTTTATTGGTCATGGGGCTTGAACTTTGGGCTTGGGCACTGTCCCTCAGCTCTTCAGCTTAAGGCAAGTGCTCTACCACTTGAGTCACACACAGTGCCACTTCCAGTTTTCTGGTGGTTTATTGCAGATAAGAGTCTCATGGATTTTCCTGCCTAGGCTGGCTTTGAACTGTGATCCTCAGATCTCAGCCTCCTGAGTAGCTAGGATTACAGGTGTGAGCCACCAGCGCCCCGCTTCTCTCCATTTCTTATGATCAAGGAGGAACTGTAATTCCCAGACTGTTAGCACATGTACATACTGTACCGCTTGTAGTTTGGGATTACAGAGGCCTGGCTATATCCTGCTATCCTGCATTGGATTTGGTTGCTGGTACTAAGGTCAGTTCCATACATACATCCCAAAGGGCACATAGTGCCCACAGGTTTTGCTTTTGCACACACTACCCCTCAGGGTGACCTATAACAGCCATGTTCCCTGTGGCTGCTCCCCTTCTTTGGTTCTACCACTTCTACCTCCCCAAACCCACTCACTGGGTGACACCTCCAAAGCTCCTTTCCACGACAAAAGCTGTGATCTTCTCTTTCACGGCCCCCGTGGCTGCATCTGTAACTGGTGTCTTGGCAAAGACTGTGAAAATGTCTGCCAGGCCCCCGTTACTGAGGAAGAATGAGGAGGCGGTTAGCATGGAGGGCTCAGAGCAAAGGAGGCTGAATTAGGTTGAGGGAGAGAAGGGAAAAGAGGGATAAAGATTGCCTGATCCAAAGCTTGCTTCCATTGAGGGTGAAATACTTTCCACAGGGGCTGGGCACAGCTGAGCTTCGGATGGAGGCTGCGTCTGACCCACTTGAGGGTTCAGTTAGGCAAAAGGCGGCTATAGACTCCCCTGGTGAGGAGAGAGCTCTTTTACCAGGAGTCCTGATGGGTATCCAACTGTTGTCATCTCCCCTTATCATCCCAGGCAGATCTTCTTAACATCTCTGGCACAATCCAGTTACTTCCTTGCATTTTCCCATCAGAACTTTGATGCCTTCTGGGACTTGCGCCCCCAAGGGATATGCCAACTAGGGGGTGATCTAAATAGCAACTGGTGGAATCGTTCCAAGCCCAGGACACCTCCCAATCACTGAGTCTCAGGGTTGCCTTACCAGATGCCACTTTGGGGAGGTATTTTTCTTTCTGGGCCTTTGTGCCAAACAGCAAGATGCCTTTGAAACCGATGCTCTGATGAGCCCCCAGGGTAACACCCACACCAAGGTCATGTGTGCCCACAATCTCTGCCAAGCGAGCGTACTGTAGGGGAAGCAGACATCTGGGCTGTAACTGGCTTCACAGGGTCTTGCCTTTAGCAGGAGAGTATGGACAACAAGGCAGGACCTGGTCTGGGCCATTTCTCCATGTGGGGAAGGAAAGAGGAATCAAAAAGCAATGCAGCTGGGGATAGAGTGGGTAGTAGAGTGTCTACCATGTGTAAAGCCCTAGGTGCCATCTCCTGCACTGGGTATTGGTGGGTAAGGGAGTGTGTAGGTGGGTGGTACTTCAGTGAGAGGTATTGGTGTATACCTTAGCTCTTATTACCCTACTGTTGTCAGTTCTCAAGGACTTGGGAACCAGGGTGAGATCCGTGGGGAGTAAGAGACTGCGCGTATATGGTGTTTTGTTTTTAGGGTAAGGGTTGTCCACACAGCTGAGAAAGTTAACAGTTCCACAGTGCTGCTCTGCACCCCCCTAGGCATAACAGTTGGCTTGGAGAAGACCTTGGCCCTAGGAGTAAGAAGGAGCTGAAACTGCCAAATTGGAGTAGAGTGGAACACTGCTGAATAAGGAGGCTCCTCTCACCTGGGTGTTGCTGAGGCCCACACCACCCAGTTCACTGGGCACTTGTAGACCAAAGGCCCCCAGCTCCTTGAGCCCCTGCAAAGTGGTCTCTTCTACTCGCTCCAGAGTGTCATTCTTGGCAGGATCATTCACCTCCTGGAGAGAAAACAAAGGATCTCATACACAGGCTTTTTGTTTTTTTTTTTGGGGGGGGGGGGGCTGTTCTGGGACTTGAACTTGGGGCTTGGGTGCTGTCTCTGAGCTTCTTTTGCTCAAGGCTAGCACTCTACCACTTGAGCCATACAGTATCACTTCCAGCTTTTTCTGAGTAGTTCACTGGACTTTCCTGCTTCACTGGCTTCAAACTATGATCCTCAGATCTCAGCATCCTGAGTAGCCAGGATTA